GGTAGGAGTTAAACACATAACAGAAAACACAGACACATTGTAGTCTGGTATCTTTGGAAATTATTATTGGACAAATAACAACCTAGCTTCATAACATAATGCCAGTGTGTCTATATGGACCCAACAGATACAATGAACATACGCATGCCTATTGCCTTGTTTGTACACTAAGTAATGCATATATTGCTCATTTTTTTCTTTGAAGCCTGAATGGGAAATGCTTTTTTAACAGATTTAATCAATACACCAACCTACATTAAAAAAAATAAATAAACCCACACAATAAATAAAAAGCAAAAGGCCAATCAATAGCCAACAGTGCAGCTTAACAGCCACTCCACCAGAAAACTGTCTGAAAAGGTGCTTCACACTCCACTGTCTGCACGATCCACAGCTGCTTGCTATTGATTTGTTGCAAGCAAAGAACATCTATTATTACATGCCAGTGTGAACCTAGCAATTTCTCCAACAAGTAGCCCGCAATGTACGACTAGCAATGTAGCGCAGGTAGCCAGCTGCTGAGGGTGGGCTGAGGACCCACATTTATTTCCTTCTGTTCTTCCCACAAAGCCATTATAAACACCCGATTTCTAAATCCAGTAATTTGCTGTGTTTTAAGCACTCACATGCCACAGACTGTTCCACATTCACTTCTCCAAGGCACAGAAGTAATAATGAGACCCCAAAATTGTATACAATGCAAAACAGTTGTCATAAACATGCTCAAAGGTAACTATGGTGGTAAGGATTGATGTGAGGTATTTAAAATCACTATTTTCACAAAGTCCCCGAAATGACAATGCTTTTGTATATCTGTAGGTACATGCAAGTGACTTGGATTTTGTGGAACATTTTGTGGTGCTGTGGAGAGAGGAACCCAACAATAGTCTGCCCTGCCCACATCACAGGAAAGGGATTCTAGATTTGCCTGATGGTGTGATGTCTACGACATACATACTGAAATCTTCCAGTCTCTCAGTCCTGATGCTAAATATCAGTAAGAACCCAATATCCAAAAAGAATATCCCTGTGAGAACCTTTGTAAGGTTCCATTTTTTTGTTGTTGTTGTTGTTCTTAAAATGTAGCCCCAATATTGTGTCCTTAAGTTGACATTCAGGCGGTATGCACCCTTTGAGAAGTCAGCCCTCTCTTTCGAATTTTTCAGAAGAATTGAAGATTTTCTCTGGAGGATGTTACTGGTGTTTCCTTCCATAGATCTTACCGGATCCCACGTGAACTCAAAATTACTTCTGGGATTATTTTCTTCATTATAGTTTCAAAACAGTCCTAAAAGTCACTTAAAGGAAACTCCCTGTGATTTTGCTATTATATGAAATGGTAGAAGATCGCATCTTAAAAGTACCATAAAACAATTAACAAGTCAATTATACCTGGATTTCCAATCAGATGATCTTTGTCTTCTATCCAGTACAGGAGAGTCATTCTTACACAAGGTAACCAGCCATAGAGGATACATGCCACATCTTCACAATCTCTATATCAGTTTTGCGTAGCTATCTTTATAAGACTAAACCTGAAATTCACCCCACTGTCTCCATCAACCCACCATGCTGTCATAGAAAATGATGGAATAAAGTTAAGCCCATCCATGCTTAGTCTACTCATACTAAATGAGATATAGTTTCTCAGCATAAACTCTACTCATGGAGGTGACATCTATGTGACAGCACCTCAAAATCATCAAGCAAACACCCAATTTGGCAAACAGGTAAGAAAAATCAAAGGTCATGAATGAAGGAACCACTGCTAGGAAAAATGTGGAGAACCTAAAATGCAAACATTTTTTTAGAAACTTGCAAATCATGCCCGGATATAAGTAACTTTTCTATACATGATGAGTTGAACTGAATCCTTTATTTTGAAAAATATCAAAACCTAGCAGTTTCCTATTGAACAAGTTTCTATTCTTGGATGTGCAGTAAGAAATAGTGATGTTTTCATTTCCATTAGCTTAGATCAATCTGTTGTCTTGAGAAATAGCTCACGGAAAATGAGAGAGCCAAACCTTCTCCCCCAACACCACCCTGCCCCAAAAAAGTCTATTGTCATTAGATAGAATCCTTAACCAACCATAGGATCCTGCAGCAGCATTATAAGAAATACAATGTATTTTAGATATATGCAACATTCTATAGAATACACTATTCCTAAAGTCAGGTAAAGGCCAGATTTCTGTGATGATACTCCAGTTATAATGTCATGCGCTATTACTGTCGTTTAGGTCAAAGGCAGGCCACCCGTGGCATTCATGCTACCAAAATAATTACTAATGGCCTTTGTATTCTTCCATATAAGACTCAGCTCTGCTTTTCTCTACATTCCTTCTTCATTCATCCTTCCTCTTTCATTCACTTACTGTATCTTTTTCCCTTTCTTTGTATTTTCTCCCTAATCTTTGCCAAAAATAAGCATGAGCTTTGTCCAAACCTGCTGGTGACACTGAAGTGAAGGCTCACCTCCTGATGCAGGCTAAGCTACCCCAAATTTGCTAACATAGGCCCAGAGAAAATCAAATAGGTAACTTAATTTTGAAGATATTATTGTGAGATAATAAGTAGTAAATTACAACTCTAGAAGTCAAGGTTGATACAAAGTAATGATCTGTGATGTAAAGAGGTAAGGTTGATTTGTTAGGTGAGCAAACTGGTTCATTCCCAAATAGAAGTTCCCCTGATATTTTAGATGTCGATCATTAGATATAGAGGCATCTATAGCACGTTTTTAAGCAATCTAACATTCTGATACACACGGTTGGTTTCATTAAAAGTTTATATCTGCACTTTACAGCTATATCCAGTATATCTGATCTCTATATATTCTTTACATTCTGCAATTAAAACGTACTTGCTCACATTTCCATATAGCCATCTAATCACAGAAGACCTAGTCTGCTCTCTACGAGGAGATGAGGCAAGCAGATTCTTTTAATGACTTGGGCTCAGAAGTCTTCTACAATAAAAAATTCATGTGTATTGTCTACATAATAAAATCCAGAATACATTACCCTAGGCCTGTATATCTCAGAAACATTTTTGAAGCATGATATGGCATTGTCACAAAAGAAAGCTTACATTTCCCAATCCGTTCTAGTACTTCATTATATGTTGACAAATTGTTCGAGTCAGATAATGCAACAGTTTTCATTCTGAACTGAGACACAATCTGCTCTTGACAAAGTCAGAAAAAAAAAAAATCATAGAAAGCCAGAAAGAATCCTGGTTGATTTTTAGCACAAAACAATGCCTGGAACTGGGTGGCTGAAAGGAACTTGTCAATGAGAAAAATATATACGTACCTTCTGAAGACCATGCTATTCACCACAGTTAGAATAACTTACCTTTCTATCTTTTCTGTGTGTGGTCTCGTCTTGACCATTTTCTACCAGAAATGGTACGTATTTATGATACGGAATAAACTTGGGAGGATAAAGAAGCATTATGCCATAATTTAGGATAAAAAACTTTCCTAATGAGTACTGTGTGGACAAAGGGGATAGAAAATAAAGAGCATATAGGACAATTCCCTAGATATTCTGGAGAGATCCATACCTGCCTATTTCAGAGGAAAACAGTATTTCCAACTCATACCTGTGGAAATGGGACTTTCAATAATACCAAGTACGTGGAATGAACAATCTGATGCCAAAACTTTCTGCAGATACTGTTCTTTGAGCTACACATCTAGAGGCACATGCTTACATTTAGATCAATGAGAATCAAATATGTTTCTCTCTACATTGACAGAGTCCCCACTTACTTCTCTGGGTATATCTTAAGAGACTGGCAGAGCACATAAAGACAAAAAGCTATGAGAAAAATGAGAAATAGAACAAGGGGCAACTATGCACACGAAAAAAAAGTTGAGAAATAGGGATCAAGAAAAACTAAACATGATAGAGATACCATTGTTATCAGCGCCTGCTCCCACTTATGCAACCATAATATGACTTTAGGATTTTCTCAGATAACACCATGAACCTTTTTATAAAACCAAAAGGCCAACTGACTATAAGTTCAGTTTGTAAAATATAAACTCCTACCATAAAGGCTGCATTTGGAAAATCAGAAGATCAACAAGACCCACTATGTCAGGACTTTCAACAAATCTCTTTGTAATTGGTATTCAGAAAATTCAGGTGTTTGCTCATCTTTAAAAATAGCCATGTTAGGAAAATGAAATGAGAAGGAAGTGAAGACACAGGTTATAGATTGCCACAGAACTGATATATCTCCACCATCAATTCTAGAATCACCTTCGTAAAATCAGTCTTCTAGAATTAAATCAGCTGATGTGCCTTTAGTATTGCTAGTGGACAAAAATAAGAACTGGCTCTCTTCCAATATGAACCAAATACACAGGTATATACATATAAATATATTCACAAAATAGAAATGCATATATAAACAGAATGACTAGGTACCTATAAACCAAATAGATATCAATAAATCTAGCCAGAGGGAATTTCTGACATTTGAAAAACCCCTGAGAATGCTTTAAACTCTTCTAATTAGAAGAAAAAATAAACTCTGAATGTCTTCACCATTTGGAAGACCTAAGAAGTTCTCTAAATTCAGAATTTTGAGAAAATAGCTACAAACCTTAAATATACTCTAAATTCTAGACAATGCAAATGGGAGAGTTTCAAAATTGTTATTCAGATGACTTAATTAATAGAAAACTGAACTCCTCAGAGCAAAAAATATTGCTTGAATTGTTTTTTGCTTCTCAGCTACGAGCAATCTAATCTAAAGAAAAAACACAGGGAGTAAGCAAATGGGAAAACATCTAGTAATGTTGAACAAGAAATGTCTCTTGTTCTTCCATTAAGAGCACCAGTCCTTTATTTTCCAAGTTTCTGGAGGAGGAAATTGCTTACAAATCTTTCAGAAGAGCCATCCTTTTACATAATATCCCTTAAGATTTCTTCAAACCTCTAAACAATGAAAAAAACTCCCAAGTATGAAAAGGTTGTACTCACGATCATTGCACTGGTTTCCAGAATACGAGGTCATGGAACAGTCACAAGTGAAGCCTTCCCACTGCTGCATGCAGACTCCCTGGTTGGCACATGAATCTTCCTGGCAAGTGGTACTTGGTCCTAGTAATTCATAAGAAGAAAAGGAGAGAAGAATAAAGGGGAGAGAAAAGTGTTAATAGTTAATCAAGTTCAAAGCGAGCGCTTGAATTTGCTACTCTCATGCCCCAAAACATTCAAAAACACAACCGCCAAAAATGTCAATTCTATATCATGCAACAAGAATAAGTACATACAAAAGACTACAGAAATACACACTTAGCCACAAACTACCAACAGTTACACACAGAAGGGAGAGGGCTGAACACATTGTTCTCTCTTAGGCAGACTTTGCAAAAGAGCTTCATCTTTACCATCCAACTCGAAAGATACTTCATTTGGAACATGGTCTTTCAAAATGTATAATGGAAAGCAGAAAAATTTATTCCCATGATTCTTATGAATTAAGGCATAAAAGTCCCTGAAGCTTGCTTTATGACATTAAAAACATATTTGATGATATGAAGAGGAGAAGGAAGAGGAGAAGCACATAGCAGCCAACATGTACTGGTATTTTGTAGGTAGTAAGTACTGGGACCTAAGCACTTTGTCTACATTATCTCATTATGCTCTCCAGTGACACTAAAAGTGAAGTAAGTATGACCATCCATTTTACAGATTAAAAGAAAAAGGAAAAAAAATAGCTCATACAAGTAAAATAATTTACCCAAAGTCATACATTTGGTAATGAAAGGACCCTGACATCCAACTTAGGTAAACTACCGCTTGACACCCAAGCTTTTAACTATATCAATCCTTCTTGGAGTGTTAGCTCTCAGACCACCATCACCTGGGCAGTTATCAGAAATGCAAAATATTGGACACCAGCCCTGTTGAATTGGAAACATTGGAAAGAGGTATAAATTTGTGTTTTTACAAGCTTACAGGAAATTGTGATGCTGTCTAAAGTTTGAGAACTTGTATATTGCATCATGTTGCAGCTAAAGTTTCACAAAAGGGTATATTCAGAAACAGTGTACATATGCCAGAGGATGCAAAAGATAATTATTTGAGGGATAGGAAGAAAATAATAAAATTACATTCATTTAAATTTTTCCTTTATTATTTCTATTTTTGTGAGTCTTTCATAAGCAAATAATATTTAAGTACAATGATACTTGTATCTGATATATAAATAAGTACATTTATTTGGGGGGCATTCTCAAAATCTTTTCTGAACATGAGTAAGCAACTAAAAAAGTTTGGTGATCTCTACCTTCTGGATTGTCATTAAAATCTCTCTTTAGGTCAGCCTGGGGCCTTTCTTTAAGTATTCACTCTTTTTCATTTCTATCTTCTGCCTTAACCTTGAGATTAAAGATAAACCTGCACCTTTGGAATTATCTGAGCTACTAGGAAATATCTTAATATTCAGGCTAACTCTCAAAGCACCTCAGCAAAGGAGGCGAGCCCTTTGACTCATCCAATGTATTACTCAGATACTGATGCAAAAAAGCACTTGACAGGGTAAAAATATATCCATTGCAATAAGTACATATTTCACAGTTCCCTAGCAAAGCCTCACACAGGCACGGAATATTGAAATGTATGCATGCAGAGTCCTAAGGATGCATGTTCAAAAGAGATACAAGACTATAAAGGATTTGTCTTCTGGGTGGCAAGACATTTTGTATTTATTCATCAAGGGTAGGAGCAGTACAGGCTGTCATTCCTAATACAAAGCTATTAGGATATGACATAAGAAAGTTCAAGACAATTACTAACACTGGGGGAGCAGCATTACTGCTGGGTCTCGCAGCTCCTATATGCCATGTGGTTCCCCCATGTAGAGATGAAAGGAGGTTCATGGTCATGTTCTCAGTGGGTCTTAAACTTGAGCATTGTGTAGTACAAGTTTCATTAACAATGGCAAATCAGGACAGCTTCTTTCAAAGGATAAAAGTTTCTGAGAAGTCCATGGGGCTCCCTGACCAAACAGCTCTTACTAGACAATGGATTAGTAATTCAATTGTACTCAAGAATCAGAAACACATGGAAGGCTTTCCCTTGAAAGGCAGCAGAATAGCAAAAACTTTGGGAAAACACAATAATTCTGTAAATGTTGATTGAATCTGAAGTCAAAGGCTTTTCCATGTTTTTCCCTTCCCGTCTAACTAGCCAAGTTTTCACCATTTTTCAAGGACCGGCCCAAATGCTTCCCCTGTATAAAACATTTCCCAATAACTTTGAACAATTCTCCCACTTCTTGGTGGCCATGGCACTTATTATTTGCATCATTAACACTGACATATAATAATATTCAATTTAACACTTTTTTGCACATTGTGCTGTCCTCTGCTTATATAATCCTCTAATTGTTTCATTTTTTTTTTAGTATTTGCCCCCAAGATTGAATGTTGCCTGTTATTAGAAATCATAATACACTTCGATTATATCCTCGCTGTGTTAAGTGTACTGTGCCAGATACAGAGAAAGTGTTTCAGCAAAGGTTGAGCTGATCTGAACTACAGCCCCCTGATATGCCTGTGTCTCCTCCTGTCAGAACCTGAGCATGGGTTACTATCTGTGCTCCGCAAAGGGAGCAATCTGTCCTTTTCATCAGAGGTTGGTCAGGACTCTAAAACAGAGGGAATTATAGCTTATCTTCAAACTCCACAGGATTTGTTTCATGTGCATTAGGTAGTGAATGCCATGCAGAACCAAATAACCCTCCAAGACTGACTATACTGTGGTCACCTCAGAACAAGAGTGGTTTCAATGAGGGAGGGCTAGAAGAACCTGCAATGACTCCTAGTTGATCTTAGACTAAACTTGCTATTGCTATTGAGGTTGAGATCCTAGGCTCCTGCCAACCCCCTCCAGCTTCATTTCCCGCTACTGGCCTCCAGATCACAGTGCTCCAGTCATTCCTTCATCCTTTCACTCCCTATCACATTGTGTGCCCCTGAGTCAGCAGCATCTGCACCACCTGTGGGCCCATGACAAATGTGCCTTGTCAGGCTCCACCCAGATCTACCAGCTGGGGGCAAGTCTCAGGAATCTGAGTTGTGACAAGCCCTCTGGGTGATTCTGAGGCCTGCTTACATTCTAGGACCTCTGCTCTTAAACTTCAAGACCAAACCTACCGGGGCACCTGGGTGGCTCAGTTGGTTGAGCCTTTGGCTCAGGTCATGATGCCAGGGTCCTGGGATGGAGACCCGCATCAGGCTCCTTGTTCAGTGGGAAGTCTGTTTCTCCCTTTTTTCCTGCTCATTGTCTCTCTCTCTTTATCTCTCCCAAATAAATAAAAATTTTAAAAAAGAAAAAAAGGGCCATCTCTAACTTAGAGATCCTCTGCTCTTGTTCTACCTACAGCCTGAAATGTCCTTCCTGCAAATTTTCAAATGACTGGTCCACTATGATAGTCTAATGTTCAGGTTGAAAATGGGCATTCTGAAGGGCAAACTATATGGTTTCACTCATATAGGGAATATAAGAAATAGTGAAATGGAGCATAGGGGAAAGGAGAGAAAATGAGTGGGAAATATCAGTGAAGGTGACAGAGCATGAGAGACTCCTAACTCTGGGAAATGAACAAGGGGTGGTGGAAAGGGAGGTGGGTGGGGGCTTGGGGTGACTGGGTGACAAGCACTGAGGGGGGCACTTGATGGGGTGAGCACTAGGTGTTATGCTATATGTTGACAAATAGAACTCCAATAAAAAAAATACACAAAAAAAAGAAAATGGGCATTCTTCAGACTCTCCTATTTCAGGAGGTCCCCATCAGCATTTCCTGTGTTCTCTGTCACATCTTCCTCTTTATTTAACTCAACAATTGCACTGCCTATAGCTAAGTTATTTTTTAAATTTTTCATTGTTTGTCTCATCCTACCCAAATTTAAGCCCTGTGAGGGCAGAAGTCTTGTCTGTTTTGCTCACTTTTATATCTCTAATTTCTGATAAAGTATTTGATATAAAGCAAGAGCTCAGAAAAATATTGTTAAATGAAAAAAGAACAAGAGAGCCAAAACCAAAAAAAAAAAGTCACTCTTATGATTTAAAGTCAAGTGGTTTTCCAAACTAACAATTTATTCATAAAATTTACCAATATCACCTCATACAAGCAATTTTCTACTTAGAATCAGTTTTGGGGGTGGTGGTGGTGGTGGTGGTATTTAATTGACCGCATTTCCTCCTCTAATTTAACTATTAGACTCATTGAATCACATTGAGAATGTGAATCCTTTGTGAATCCTTGTCACAAACATTGAGACAAGGATTCTTTTGTGTCCCCAGTGTCCAGAGATAGTACAAACTGTTGAATGAGAAAGAGCTTGGACTACACTCTAAAACACTTTCTAGATGATAATATAAGCTCTTGGTCTTACTTCAAACTACTTAAGTACATCCTTTCTTGAACAGATTATCTTTTATATCTGTATCTGTTTCTCATAGATAGCAGTGTCTCCAGCATTAAAGAGAGAGAAAGAAATTAGAGAAACCGAGATGCATGCCAAACTTCCCTGAAAAAAAGAAAAATAAAATCTTCAACAATGCTTCTAAATGTGCATCACTGATATAAAATGATCTCATACAAAAAGGATATAATAATAATAAAACAAGGGATTTACATAGCACTTATGTGCCAGACACTGTACTAAGTGCATTTCAGATATTAATGCAATTAATCTTCATAAACACATGATGAAGCAACTATAATTAAATGTATTAAAGAATCAGAAAACAGGAATGTTTTTCTCAGGAAGATATCCAGAACTTTACAAATGAAGGAATTTTATGACTGATGATCAAGTTGGAAGGCAAGTATTTCAGAGAAGTAAAATAAGTCATAGAGTTAGTGATTTTGTTTGTGAGGCCCCCCAAAACAAGTAGTAGAGTCAAATCTCAAACCCAAGCTTGCTAATTCCACAGCTAAGCCACCTAATATTTATTGCTAGGGGTAAGCCAGAGAGTGAGTATGTGTGAGAAATGAGTGTGTGTGTGTGTGTGTGTGTGTTACCATTGGATTAACAAAAGAAATTTAAATACAGTATGTCTAGTCTATATAACCAGAACAAGATGAC